CGTGTGTGCATGTGTGTGTGTGTGTGTGTGTAAAAAACACTTAGTGCACACTGTCCCCTGTGTCCTCAGCAGCTGTGGGTAGTCTTAGCAGATGGATTTTCAAAGCCTTTTACTGTTACCCTACCACCACACAAACACACACACTCTCTCTCTCTCTCTCTCTCTCTCTCTCTCTCTCTCACACACACACACACACACACACACACACACACATACATTCATACACACACTTCTTGGCAGTTCCTAAAAAGAGAACAGCAGGCCGACTGATGGGATGAGTGTAGCCTTGGGTTTAGATAAGAACACAATGAGTCAGGCCTATGCAACCCCTTAATTCCGGACCCACTGAAACACACACAAACTTAGATACGCACAGAAAGTTTAGACACAACGAAGGCAAAACCACAACCTGCTTTTATTCCATTAAAAAAGGAACTTCTCATGAACGCTGATAACTTTTCCATAGAGGGTGAATATCTCTTATTTCTGTTGGTCATCCTCTGACAACAGTAACATGCATGACACAATGAAAGTTTTGCTTCCTGTATTTTATGAGGAAGAGAACACACAGAAAAAAAACCTGACATTTCAGACATGATGTGTTGCAAGGACGACAAAACGAAATCCGACAAAATCCACTCAGCTTAGAGTCAATCATGAAAACAATGCAGCCTTCATCAGAAACTTCAAGTCATAATGATACATTTTTCATAAAATCTGTCATGAAACTGAATGTTACTGCACCAACAACAATAACAACACAGATAGGTTTGGTTTAAAAAGTTGGTCAAAGTGGAATAATTGAGTTTAGAAAAACTCTCCTCAGTGTATTTATAGAAACAAAATCTCAGACTTGGCTATTGAACCGAATGTTTTTCAGCGTTTTAACACAAGAAATAAACTTGGTGTGAAAGAGTTGAGTGAGCTTGAGGTTTCATATTGGTGATATGTGGGTGACTCGTGGGTGGTGTGTTATTTTGTTTTTAACTTATTTCAGATCTTCACAGTTTTAAAAAAAAAAGACAAAATGAACCATTGGTATGATAATACTTTGAAAATAAATTAGTATTATATCAGATTTAGGGGTAAATTCTTTATTTTTAAGTATTTTATTGGGTTGATCTCTTCCCACGTGCTGTTTCTAAAAGAGGATGAAAAACAATTCCGTGAAAATGAGTCTCACGTTAAATCACACTGTGTCCACAGTTCAAAACTCATGGTTAAAAAAAGCTGTTCTAAATTACAGCTGAAAACGATTATGAAACCTTACACAACCTGTCTTTGTGTTTACGATTAGATAATAAATAAGATTATACATATCGAATCAGATTCAATTATTCTTATTGGGTAGTTGGAAATCTATAATAACTGAGTGTAGATTCTGGACATGAAGACACATAGATTCCATCAAAAAATTAGGTCTTTAATTTATCTTTTCATTCTGTCAATTGTCGGTGATTTACTGTGAGTTAAATTATACAGAAGTCTGTAAAATATAATGAATTGATTGGTTGTGATTGGTCGAGAATATTTTGTGGCCCTTAAATCATAACCATAAAAGGTTTTTATTCTCCTAGAGAACGATAAATCTGTCGACGGCTGTACTCACAGAGAACCACACATCTACGCTGCAGCTGTTTTACATTTCACAACATGGTTATGATTCAGGTTTTTCCTGAAAACAAACATACAGCTTGCGCTGATCATCATGGATGTAAAACTTTATTTAACTCCGACCACCAAATGTCCCACTGACTTATTTCATAAATTTGTTAAAACCAAACAAACAGGGGTTTTCACATAGTTCTTCGTTTTCTGGTGTTTCCTCCAACAGTCCAGAAACATGACAGATGTAATTTCCTCATGAACGTGTGTGACCATCTGCCTTTACTCTGAAGTAAACCTGTGATGAGTGTTTCCCAGACTCCAGCCAAGTGCATTCTGGGACAATTACCACATTGTGAAATAGAAAACAAAGACACAAATGTTACACAATCAGTTAACTGTAAATTTCTAAGAATGTCTCTACATTTTAAATCTTTAACCTGCTCCTCAAATCTCGGTATCGCTCGTCCACGTAGGCGCAAGTTGCTGTCGGAGCTGGTGGAGGACGAGAAGGTTGCCGTGGAGATTGCCCGTCTCGAGGAGGAATTCCGCCGTCTGACGGAGGAGAACCGCAACTTGGTGACTGTCCACAACGAGCGCGCACAGCAGCTGGAGAGGCTCTGCCTGTCCGACCGAACGAGGCACGACTCCTCCTCGTGACCCCTGACCTCTGCAGAACCTGAGACGTCCAGCTGACACACTGGGGCCAGGGAACCAACCAGAACCAGAAATAAAGGCCCAGGCTGTAGCACTCGCTCTAGACGACGGCTGTGGTCTGTGAATCAGTTAATTACACAGACAGATGCCTTGTTTGTCCATGTCTGAGTCATGTGTTTGAACCGCAGATGTACTGTCATCATCAGTGTGAAGGTGTTAGAGTGAATCTACCGAGCTGTGACACAGGGCCGTCTTTCTGAGTGCACTGTTTTCTTATTATGTGATGTTGCGGGAACCTCGGCTGGTTGTCTCACGGTGTGAATTCATAATGTCAGCTGCTGTGAAAGTGACCAGATCTGTGTGCTATCTGTCTCAGGTCCTGAGGAGACTCAGATCTCTTACCTGAGGTCTGGCTGTGGTCCAAGGAGTGCCCCCCCCCCTCTCCCCCCCCCGTATCCGCCTGTCGGGTTCTTGTTATGGTAAAACTGAAAAATGAGGGATCTGGGAATTGTAGTGTATTTGTGAGGGGCAGCACTGTTGATTGTTAGGAGTTGTACATTTTATTTCCATGTAGTGTGTCTCACTCACCTGTAGAAGGGGAAGTACACATCCACTGTTGCTTTTCGCCCTCAACTAATAATAAAATGCATTTTAATTTAACTCCAGCGTCAGTTCCTTACTGTAGTTTCATTTCTCCAGGCTGCTGCTGTTGTGTTTGGGGATGTTGTGTCGTTAACTTGGAATAAGGAACTAGATTGTGTGTTTTTTGTTTTTTTTACATGAGGAGATTAGCTCATTCTGGAATTATGAAACAGTCATCTGATAAAAGGGCTTCAGCTTGGCTTCCTTTTTCCTCGTTCCAAAACATGTGACATTGGCCATATTAGTGCTTTGTATCAATGATCTGCTGTGTTTTACTGCCTGGGTCTTTATCGTGCACTTTCCCTGTCTGTGTTAATGTCGTCATCCCTTCACAGATATTTCATACCTGACACCTTAAAAGCCACAAAATGTTTAAAGTCAGAGAGGACGAATCTTCCATTACGTTAGGGTGTGTTTGTGCTCTTTTACGGCCGTTCACCTATCATACCTCTGCTCTTATGCTCTTTCAAAGAGGACGTGGCCCGGAGCTCACAGGAAGATTTACAACTTCCCGTAAAGCCAACAACTCACAAAATGAAATGACAAGGACCCTTAGTCTCCTTCTCTGTGCAACAGGTCTGTTTCATTCATTTCTACACAACTTGTCCTTTGCAGTTCATTGAGTAAATCCCCCTTTCTTCTGAATCTAAAAGACTTTCACAGAACATGATCCTCTCTAAACACTGGGTTAATATTCACACCTTAAATCTCTGGAATTGTGTTTGTGGTAAGTTTTTTTTTTTTTTTTTTTCCTGGGAAGCGCCTTGTTACTTCACCCGCCAGATCCAAGTGTGGGATTGGTCTGGACGGGAAAACTTGCTTGCTCATCCTTTATCAGCAGGAGTGCATGAGTCAGCGTTTGCTCTGTTCCACCCAGAGCTGTTGCAACACACACACACACACACACACACACTTCCTCCCTCCCTCTTACATTCTCACACACAGGCCATATGACTGAGTCAAGCTCAGTTTTTACTTTGTGAGTGAGTTGCGATGAGGCTCTCTGGGAAGCGTAGTCTGGTTTGATGGCATTCCATTTAGAAATAACCATGTGTGCTCAACAGCTGGAACTTTCTTCACCATTTGGATTTATATAAATAAAGTCAGCTGTGTAAGGTAGGCACGTTTTTTTGTTGTCACTATTTTCATGTATATGTCATTAAGTATGTGTCCTGATACAGAGTTAGTGGTGATATGAACGTGTGTGTGTTTGTACATACAGATGTCCCTAAAGGCCATGTCTGCTCCCCGGGCGTCTGTGTTTACTTTTGAGTCTACGGTGCATTCCTCCCATGTGCTGCGCTGCCTGGATGACCAGCGTCGCCGGGACGTGTTGTGTGATGTGACCGTGGTGGTGGAGGGTCAGAGCTTCAGGGCCCACCGCTCGGTGCTCGCCTCCTGCAGCGAGTACTTCACGCAGAGGATCTCCTCCCTCACACAGCATGGAGCTGTTATCACTCTGCCACAGGAGGTGAGACGCCACCTCATGTCTCCACACAGCAAGATAGATGGATGAATAACAAAGTAAACAAGGCCAGAGACGTAGCCACAGGTTCGGATTTCAAGAGGCCCTAAATCAACATTTTGAATTTTTCTATAATAAGAAAGCCATTTTGATCTCTGAAGCCCTGTACTATTTTTGTCTCAGAAAACTCATTCACGAGATTAAGCAGAGGACTCGTTCATGATCTTCTTTAAATAAAGGAAACAATAAAAAAATGAATTTTCCTGGTCACATGTTAAGTATGTATAGCTGAACCTGTTGCAGCCCTACAATGCTGGGCTTTATTTAATAGTTTAATAGCTCTATTTTTACATCTGGACGGTATTGTATAAAATGACCGGCTTCTATCCATGACTGTGAATCAAGTAGATCAAGGACAGACTGTAATGTAATGTGTCCTCTCTGACAGGTGACAGCTGCTGGTTTTGAGCCCCTGCTGAAGTTTGCCTACACGTCCAAACTCCTCTTTGGCAAAGACAATGTCTTAGAAATGCGCACCTCAGCCTCCGTCCTCGGTTTCAGAGACCTGGACGAGGCGTGCTTTGATTTCCTACTCCCTAAGTTCTTCTCCAGCACCAAGGGCCCTTGTCCTAGAAAGACCTGTTGCAAGAAGAAATACAAGAGGCAGTTGTCAAAGACAGACAGCTGCACAGACTCTGATGTCGTGTTGTTGGATGAGAAAGAAGTAAAACCGGTTGATGACTCATCGTCTCAGCAGGAGGTGGTTTGGCCCTGCAGGAAATCTGAGAGCAACAAACTAGGAAGTCAGAATAGTGCAGCCACACTCGATACTGCAGCCAAGGGAGCGAATGATGGTTTTATGCAATCTCCAAAGTATCGCAAGTTCCAGCTGGCTTGTGGGAAGGATGCTTGTGTTGTGGCGAAAAGTCTAGCAGCAGCAATCAGGAATGAGTGTGGCCTGTCCTGCTCACCTTGCTCCAGCGGCACGAACAGTAAAAATGAAACTGAACAAACAAATCCTGCCAAACTCAGGGACAACCGAGCTGAGGAGCGACGGAAAACTGAAATACATGACAAGAAAAGAGATGTGGACATCGGGGAGGATGAGAAAGACACAAATAAAAGAAAGGGGACATTGGACGATATTATGAAGATGGAGGAAGAAATGGAGCATTTCGCTGGGATCAGCTCTCCGGATAGATCCAGTGTCGAAGCTGTCTCCTCAGGGGAAAGCACAAGGCTGGGTGAAAGGTCACCAGGGTTAATATTGCACCATTACCTGCCCAGGGCCTCAGCTGGGGGCCCTGTGATGTCCAGGTCACAGGGGCAGCAGAGGTTAGTCATGGACCTTAAAGACAACAAGAAAACAAGGGAGTCTTGTGAAGAAGAGCCAGTGTCCATCTTTCAAAGGCCAGAGGAACAGGCAGAAGCTGAGGGGGAAAGGGGAATCATGGACAGAGCGACCCTGCCAGCGAACAGAGAGGGGAGCACCATGGGGTCTGACGAGGGCTCGTCAGACCCTGACGCAGGAAGATCTTCTAACACAGGGAGCGGACAGCTGCAGGCCACGTCTGTGAATTGGCTGAATATTCACGCCAACCTCAGCTCCAGAAGCTCGGATTGCCCCTTCCTCCAAGATCTGGACCAAAGCAAATGTTTATGGAAGGGAGCGGGGGTGTCGGAGTGCACGTCTCACTCGGGTGTGTCATCCCTGAACTCGGGGGAGGACTCAGAGACAGAAACGGAGGGAGACAGTGAGGCCTACACGAGAGAGAGGGCCAGACAGGTGAGCAGCTGAGAAGCAAGTCTGCTGAGGCTCTTCTGGAAATCTGTCCTGCGGCTTTAAGCATCAGCAGGTTCACCCTACTTGTAGATTACACTACTAAGTTTGTTTAAGATAAGAGTTTTCAGGTACATTATATCAGATTGTTTGCATTCACGTCACAGAAAGTAGAATCGCTATGGTGCCACGTTAATGATTCACCTATGATGATAATGATGTGTGTGTGTGTGTGTGTGTGCATGCATGTGATGTGACCCTGAGCTAATCGGTCCAGAGTCCAACTCAGACGAATTTGACGCCTCAGCCCGATGAGTTAGCAGGCGACACAAAGAACAGCTTATTGAATCTTCTCGCTCCACCGTCCAGACTATTATTCCCCGTTTGTCCGAAAAGTGCAACGACAGTGCGACGGGTCTGCAGATGTTAAGTTAAGGTCGACTCAGTGCAAACAGTGGTTTTATTTACACAAGATAAAACACATGCATGATTTACACTGCTCCTATAAACTGGTGAGTGCACGTTTCCTGTCACACATTAGCAGCAATAACCCAGCACCCGACCTCTGCTTTTAAAAGTTAATTTATTAACCGCACAGTAAAAATATAATCTGGACTCATCTGACTTTGCTTTACATTTTTATCTCCAGCTCTGCTCGGATGTTTGACAATCTTCCATTAGCGGATATTTACTTTAATTTAATTTACATAGAAACACATGTCAACAATGATCTGCCTAGTTTTACTCATTTACACATTTATAAAAGAAGATGTGATTAAAAAAAGAATAAGAATCTAAGGATGCCTCCTGGGGCTTGAAAAGTGGCAGATGACAGGAAATAGGTAACAACACTGAATATTCTAATTATGCGACACAATAGCTACACTCAGCGCACAGTAAATGAATGAACATAGTTTTACATATAGTACTTCAGCAAAAATATATCTCATATAAACTCATGTATAAGTACAATGAATCAGACATATCAGCAGATTAGGAACCATTTGGTTAAAAATCCTCATTAGACAACATAGATAAAATAGAAAATTAAAACACAAAATGGACAAAAGGCTGTATACACAATATCAAGAATATTTATTTGATTACATTTATTTTCAGGGACAGTGGATTTGATAACGCCACTGAAAACTGAGTTTGCCCAGAGGCTAATTGTAATCTGTGGTCCCTGGCCAGGTGTAAAGATGGCAGATAAAATCAAATATCAACAAATAACTAGTTACATGTCATTGTGTCGGCAATATGAATTAAATATGGCCATAATACTTACATCACAAAGGTCACAGTTTCTATGGAAATCATTTGATATTATGAGTATTTCTTATTTTTTTATGGACAAGCATCATCATCATCATCATCATAAAGTTTATTTCTATAGTGCCTTTCAAAACCAGAGTTACAAGGTTCATCACATAATAAAATAGAAGTGCAAAGATAGCAATTCATATAAGGCAGATCAAGAACGACAATCAACAATTAACAACAATAATCAATGTGTCGTTTACAGAATGAGTTCATATAAAAGTATATTCTATGACTCTGCTCCTTCATCGACGTCGATGATCTCATTGTTATACTTTGTTTCCTGCTCTCTCAGGTGCAGTTGCCTTTCTCTGTGGACTGGATTGTGGATCTGAGCAGAAATGACTTCCAGCAGCTGCTGAAGCAACAATCTTTCACGCAGGAGCAGCTCGAGTTTGTCCACGACATGAGACGCCGCAGCAAGAACCGCCAGGCAGCTCAGCGCTGCCGCAAGAGGAAGCTGGAATGCATATACAATCTGCAGTGTGAGATCAACAAGCTGGTAAAGAAAAATCTTTGTTGAATCTGTGTTTCTTTTGCAGATTCTCGTTTGCAGGCATGTCGATGAGACTGTGTGTGTTTGTGTGTGTCACAGAAAACAGAGAGGGAGAAGCTGATCGTGGAGAAGAGCCAGCTGAGCCAGCTGAAGGTGACAACAGGTCACAGTGTGTCTGCACTGTGTCAGAGGGTCTGCAGCGAAGCCAACCTGCAGCCGGAGCAGCTCCAGGTGTTGGCTAAATACATGTCTCCAGACTGCCCTCTGACCTCCCTCTTCCCCCACATAGACACTCTCCTCTCACAGTCCAGGTTGCCGCTCCCCTGACGTCTCTCTCGGGCTGCTCCTCGGGCCTTGACGAGCGCATGGCGTCTGAGGAGGACCGGTGTAGCTCCGGCAGGGACACGATCACAGGAGACGGAATAAATATCCTGCACCAACACTGAGCGTCTACATTAAACTCATGGTTTCATGGAGCTGGAGCTCTTACATCAAGGTATCAAACAGTATCTGATGACATTACCGTGGACTGTGGACTGAGAAGTGGCTGCAGGATAAAACAATCGCGTTCTTATGATCATAACATGATAAGATGTGAGATAGGTGCATTTATAACGACAAGACCACACAACTTATATTAAACTAACATTACCATGTTGACGTGGTGTCCAAAACCATTTCCCTCTTGTCTTTATTAAAGGTAGTTGTCTTTAAGTTTGAGAGAAGGACTTGGTCATTGAGATTTTGCGACACTTACACTCAGAACCCTGTGCTGGCACCTGAATAGACCCTGCTTGTGCCTCGACTTGCTCTGTTTGTGCTCCAACTGTGCACTTGCTCTCAGATATTTTGTTGCTTGGACTGTCAGCGAGAATCTCTCTGATTCCTCCTCTGCTTTTGGATTTTTACTTCTGTGTGATTTTGTTTTGCGTCCAACAAGTCGGTCAAAATTACCCGACCGAGAGAATGCTACAGTAGGTGTAGTCAGTAACTCTAAGCACAAGCAGGGGCTATTTGAGTGTGAGCGTAGGCTTCTGGGTGTAAGCATTGCAAAATCTGAAAGTTAAATCAATAAGCCTCTTTATGCCCCATCGGGAAAATAAAACATACTTTTCCACCAGTTGTGAAGCATTGATGACCTGCAGAGAATGTTTCCAGGATTTACAAATGAATCACCTGAACACAATTCAGCTTGATTTTCTGGTTAAAGCAGAAATGTACCTGCTTATAAGTGTATGTTGAGAATAATGAATAGTTTAAATCACAGCTTTATGAATATAAATTTAAGTAGGAACAGTGGTTTGCATTTGGAACATGCTTCAATGCTTGATAACCTCAGGACGACAAAAATGATTGTGTGAGTGAGTTTGTTTGTGAGTGAGAGAGAGAGAGTGTGTGTGTATTTTTATTGTCTTTATACAGTTTGATACTACAGCCTGCACTGCACAGTGTTGGTTCTGCCCTCTCTGTGTAGACCACACAACCAGACAGCTCAACAACAGCACTTGACGCTGTGTGTCATATTTACCCTCCGGTCGTACGTCTCGCTCTCATGTGTTTTTTTCTGACTGTCACTGTGGCCGTCCCTCCTCAGCTGACCACAGTGACACAGCTCCTCTGGGCTGCGAACGTCTCCCGAGCTTCGCTTCGATTAAAAAAATAAAAAAAAAACTGATTTTAAATGACTTTAGAGGAGACATATGATCCTTTTTTCACACTTTCTTTCCTTTAGTGTGTTAAAAAGTTTTTTTGTGTATGTAAAAGTTAGAATTAAAGAAGCCCAATAAAAGGCTGCTCCTGAAAGGACTGGTCGATACCTTCAGGGCCTTGTGACATCACACGCCCCACATTTGCGTAATGCACACGTTGCCGCCCCCCCTTTCAAAACAACGACAATCATGAGCGGGAACGTATTGGGCTTAAAATGTGTTTGAGACAGAGGCTGAAAAGAGGAGCTGCAGCAATAGACAATCTGATGGAAGTGAAGTGTTTTCTGTGCATTAGAGCATTTAAAGATCTTTCAAGTGAAATCACAAAATTAAAATTATGAACCAGAACATCAGCAGAACACGTCTTCTTTAAAGTGCTGTATAAAGGAGACATTTTATGAAAATCATCCGACTGATGGATGCAGAACGAGCAAATTCATGTTTTTATCCTGTTTCCTGTCGCTTTTCTGTTCTGAAAAACTTCTCCACACGAGTGTCACTGTATTTTATGTGCATACTGTATATTTATTGATTTACAACAATCATCCCAATGCAGCTGCTCTTAAAATGACGAGAGTAAGAAGTTGATGGTGTACATCAAGAACACATTGATTTATGACAAGATGCAGAGCAACCATATCATATTTTTCCAGCCTCGTGGATTCTTAATGTGTTTATTGGTTGAGACCATTTTTCTCTCGCACCAAGTCAAAGTCATACTTGATAACACTGGTGTTTACTGCCCTCTAGTGTTAATAGAGCAGTAATGGAAGTGTACCACAGGATATGCTGCTCAACTGTGTTCCTCAGTTTGTACTCATGAAGAAACACGACTGTGCAAATGGATTTATCATATTTTGTAAGATAGATTTAAATAAACTAATCAACATTAAAATGTAACATGGCTCCAAAAACATGTTTGTTGTCATCATCTTCAACTTGTTAATATGAGTAAATGCAGTGATATTAAACCAAATAAATCAAATACATTAAAATCAACATACAAATATAGAAAAACATAAAGGCTAATACAAATGAAATAAAATAAATAAAATGTTTCAGGCAGCTTTTGCTCGATGATATTTTAAATTACTTTTTACTTTTATTTTTGTCACAGTCGGACAAAGGATGTGTGTGTGTGTGTGTGTGTGTGTGTGTGTGTTCAGTATGTCCAGAAAACCCTGTTTACCATCTTGGGAAAATCCACACCTAATCACAAGCTATTAAAATTATTACACACATGAATAGAATGCCTGCAATTCACCTTCTTTGACGACAGGTGGCGCCACATGAGCAAGTCTCCTCTCTCATATAAATACTTGCAGCTGAATAATGTGAGAATCTGTTGCTTTAACTGCTTTAATGTTCTCTACGTGATCTGATGTGGAGCCGTCAGCTTGAATCTGCATCATATCAGTCTAGAAAATATTTCAAAGGTTCCTCATGAACTTCTCTTTCTGTTTTCGAGTCTCTACACGAGCTTGTCTGGATCTTTTTGTGGCTTTTGGGTATCACTTCTCCCTCGGCTCATTCCGTTGTGTTTCTGTGTCGCTGTGAGAGTATGTGGGTGTTTTCTGGAGGTGGTTCTCTGGCAGCCAGAGCTCCACAACTACAAAGAGCACAATATGTTGAGCTGATAATTCTCGGTAATGAAAGCTGAGATCTGTGCCAGGTGTTGTCACAGGAAGAGCTTTGTCCCACAATTAAATCAAACTTTCATTTCATTGTTTTATGTTTAAATGCACGTTGTTGTTTTTTTTTGACACAAACCCCAACAACAAATTGATTTATCCCATCATCCAGTTATCGCTTGATGAATTTCAGATGACAAAATTCTCTCCAACTTGCTTCCACTGCATTTTTTGGATCGTTTAATGAGTCTTAACATGATCCAAGAGCAGACGAGCAAATCTTCTCCCTCAGGCAGAGAATAATCCACTCAGTCATGTGGTTCACTAATGAGAACCTGAGAGTCCTGGATCAGACCGGAGACACATTTCTCAGGCTAAACTAATAAAACTTGGACGTTGGTTCGCTGCCTCTTCCTCTCGCTGATTTGTGGAGCTAGACTGAAGTGTCGCAGTGGTCATGAGGCTGTGAACTGGTTTGTTTTCAGGTCAACGGTTTAACACTTAACAATAAATAATAAGAACAAGTGATGTGATCAGATGAGGACACGTGTGGGTTCGTGGGCACGTGGTTGTTTTCCCCAGGTCCAGATTAACGCAATGTCACACGACGCGTCACACGTCCTCATGACGAGCCAAACAAACGCTGTGAAATTGAAATCCTGAGAAAGAAAACTTTGTTCTAATCCGTGTAGATGCTGGACATAGGCAAACAACACATCATATATCATCATACACTCCCTGTACATTTGTGTGAGAGGCGACACACCACATGATGCACCGGATTTATCAAGTTTGGAAAGAGACGAAGGCCTCAGCGTCGTGCAGACAGATGTGTAGGGTCACCGGAGGAAAAATTAAAAACACCTTCATGCACAACTAGAGGCGTCTTGTTGGAAGATTAACAGTGGTCGATTAAAATTAGCTCATCTCTGGGTGCATAAAAGAGCCCGTGCAGATTTAATATGAATAAGATGAGGGAATTTAAATGAAAGAGGCAGCAGCTGGAATCCAAGAGGAAAGGAGAAGAAAAGATAATGGAGGATCGGGTGGGTGAGAAAGGGAATAAAGTGTGTGTGTGTGTGTGTGTGCATACAGCAATAGCTTCGCACAGATGTCGGAGGATACCCATGAAAAAAAATGACTTCGTCTAGTTACCATGGATACTGAGGGTTAGGCTTTGGCAAGTGAACTCATGTCCAGAAACAATTTCTCCTCTGGTGAAAAGAAAAATAACAAGAAAACAAAAAAATCACTCTTCCATCGATAACAACACACACACACACACACACACACACACACACACACACACACACACGGTCCTGACCGGCCTGTAGACCTGATCCGTCCACGGGCCATGAACGACTCCAGGGTGTTTTCAAGTGTTAAACGCTCCCTCTCTTTGCAGCTCCCACACTTTCGTTGCTATAAATACAAATGAATTGTTGAACTGCCTGATTAAACAGGGCTCACCTGACAGGCAGCTCGAGGAAGAGTTTGACGCAACATCGATATAAAACTTTAACTCAAGACTTAGAGACATGTTGAAGAAAGAAATTCTGAGATTTTTGAGAATAAGATTACGAGAATAAAGTCTTAATTTAGTGAGGACGTACAATTCATACAATTTAATTTTTAGGGAATAAAAATAATAAGATCATATTCTCGGTTCTTCTGAATAGACTCAGTTTCTTGCACAATCCTTCACAACCCTGATACTTATGATGATGAATCATTTCATTATTTGTACTAAAGTTTAATTTAACAAGATCCTCCACATTCCTCATTTTACCGATCGTCTGATGTTCCCCCTCTAACATCACACATAACCAAAGATTACGACTTTATTCTCGAGATCTCATATATTTCCCCCTTTCAGTGGCTGCGATTCTCCATTATACTAACCAGCATCACACCCACGCATACAGCAAATAACTTAAAACCATTAAAAAAAAAAATGTATGTTCAGTTCACACAATGCAAAGGGTCAATATTACTTTCTTTGGCTCTTATTAGATCCCAGGAGGGCGGCAGGTCTCCCACACAGTTTGCGTGGAGGTTAAACAGAGAGAGAAAATCAACAACATCAGTCACACAAAAGTGAAAAACTGAAATAAAGTGAGCAAAACTTGTCTTTCAGACAGACAGACAGATTGTTAACAAGTAAAAACACACATATAATAAAAAATAAAAGACTTGTCGAGGACTCCTAAGATGTTGTTTTTAAACCCTTATGGTAAAGAAAGGTTTGAGATTTTATCGTTTAAACACAAACGTTATCGTAAATAACTATAAATTAAAGGAAAACACAAATACAACCAAACATACAGAACTTGAATTAAGACATAATGTAAACATTAATGTTAAATGCTCCTATTTCCTGCATTGTTTATTCTGTAAAATTAAAGTTATCACATCAGCAGACATGAACATCTGTGAAAGGCTCATACTGACTGATTGTTTATCGGCCGGGCTCCGGCTTTTAGTTTGTGAGGTGCTGTTAAATTAGAGGAAGTGAGAAATGTATCTCAACCAGCTAAAAGGAACAGTCCCCAAACAGCGAGGCTGACGTTATGTAATACTTCAAATAATCTCATACATCAATACCAAAGAGCGACTGAAGTCACACACAGAACCATGAGTTGCCAAAAACTCCCCTAACAATGTCCAGCTCCTGAGTCCATGTCCCTTCAGCTCCGGTTTACTGCAGAGAGTAAAACTGCAGCAAACAACAATGTTCAACTCGGACCAGAGAAGCAGAACTGCACTGTGGGTACTCAGGCGTCCTTCGAGGGCCGTGTGGTGTGAGCGTTCCTCTTTGTCCTCCTGTGACTCTGCTCTGCCCCGTCCCACCATCACACCCTCCCTCTCCTCTCGTTATTTGAAGCAGCCGGAGCAGCTCGTCTTTCTGTCGTGGTCGAACTGCGGCGAGACGGTGTCCGCTACCAGCGTTTTCATGATTTCATTCTCTGTGGCCATGATGTGCTTGACCAGGAAGTTTGCAGCTTCACTGATGTTGAGATTATCCTGAAAAAGGGGCGTCGTCATTTGGTCAGGTTACGTGTTTGTTTGTCTGCGGCGTTACAGAAAATTAAACGACAGATTATCAGGAAAATTGGCAAAGGATGAGGAGGAGCGTTTGTTTTTCTGATTGGAGGATTACACAAAAACAACTTTGCCATTTAGGACGTATGAAAGTTTGGAAGAACTTACTTCACTGGCTGCTCTTTACCATACAGTGCTGTCTCCGTTTTACCTTCTCGTCAGTACATCCTGTACTTCAACACTCTTACTGCCTGTTGTAAATGTGGGTCACTCACACACCGCTGCCTTCACGTGATCAAATGGAAGTTAAGGAGTTTGAACCTGCTTCATATAAATACTGAAACCGACCGAAGACGGATGTGTATCCGTGTTTGCCGACCCCCACCTCTGACTGAACCTGCACCTTGTGACCTTTGACCTGTCAGAATGCTGAGTCTGGATGACACAAGGATGACGGTGCACTTTAGCTGCACCCAACACGTCAGTGTCAACAGAGGATGTGTGAATGGAGATGTTTGTAGAATTAATAGCTATGTGCAAATAATGCAGTGTCTGTAGGAATGTCAGTTTAAAAATTAAGGAAAATAACATCAATATAATAAAAGTGATATAATTGATCTAACGTAAATCACTTTAGTTTAAATTCTTATCCCTCTGCAGTATATTTCAATCCCCGATGTGTAAATCTATCTCATGGAGAATGAGAAGGTACATCCACAGCTGCTTGGTTTATCTCAGCAGCTGGAAACATCCCCCAGTGGTTTGTGTGCCGCCTTTTTGAAGCTGTATTTTTTGTCAAGCGCCAACTTGTTTTTTTAAACCAGACGTCAACAACACGTCCACTGGATGGTACCAGCTGTCAGTAACATGGTACTCATGCCTCATAGCGTGCGTTACGGTCTTGACTCGAGCTTCAGACTAACTTCCCAGATCCCAAACATCAGGATAATTCTGTCATCTCACCTTGGCTGAGGTCTCGAACCACCCGACGAAGCCGTGGTCCTTGCAGAACTGGTCCATTTTGATGCCGCTGTTGTTCAACTCTCTGCCCTGGTCACACTTGTTGGCCAGCAGCACAGTGGCGATGCTCTGTCCGTTATCCAGCCTCAGTTTGGAGTCCAGGTCCTCTTTCCACTTGATGACGGCCTCGAAGGTCGTGGGCCGCGTCACGTCGCACACTATGAAGGCTCCCATGGCTTCACGGTAGTACACTCGGGTCATGTTTCCAAAGCGTTCCTGACCTGAGACAGACAAACGTACGTACACACACTGAGTGAGCTGCAGTCGTCAGCACGGCAGCGCCGATGAGGAACTCTCATTGTTCTCCTACATTTCTGCAGTGAAACAACTAAAGCAGCTGGCATCAAGTCTGCAGTTTGCGGCGCCTGTATTTCATGAACCAGCACATTCCTGGTGTCTCACTGTCACGCTGCACCTAACGAGATGCTCAGTGCAGGAGCGTGTTCTGCTTATAACGGGTCCGACTTTAAAAATGAAAATAAACTTTGACCTACGGTTGATAAAACATATCTGTGAGGATATGAACACGTGACATGTCAGGTGTATGTGTATCGTGCAGGGATTGAAATGAGTTGCTTGAGGAGGAAATCCTTCGAGTCGTTTCTGTCGTGGCCTCACGAGGGACAGGAAACGGAAAAAAGGGTCGAGATGTTCCCCTTTTTGTGCAAGAGAATGTGTGAATGATTTTCATTAGTCACATGGAGTTGTCATCTGCAGCAGAGAGACAGCAGCTCCAGACAGACACACGCATCACACAGGTCACTTGACGCTAAGTCATTCTGTAACGATGATGCACTTTACATGACTTTTTTATGCAAATAACATTTTATAAATTAGAGCAAACATACCGTCCTGACTTAGTTCACCCCCCCACTCCTCGAAACCATGAATTTTAAATAGGTGGAGTCGACTGAATCTAATATGGAGGATTCAAATTAACTGTTTAAAGCATGTGCCTGCATGTGTGTGTGTGTGTGTATGTGAGAGAGAGAAAGAGAGATAGAGATATTCTGAGTAATGATGTTTTGCTTTTCCTTTAGGCCACAATGACCCTCCTGTGACTGGGCTTAAAATCTCTCTCACATGGACCTAATCACATGATGCAGCACCATACCTTGGATGAGTGAATGATATATGTGTGTGTGTGTGTGTGTGTGTGTGTGTGTGTGTGTGTGTGTGTGTGTGTGTGTGTGTGTGTGTGTGTGTGTCACATGTGGGCTCTCCACAGTGACAGTGCATTGCACAACTTTACGAGTCATGTCACAGCGTCAGTATGAAGACAAACTTTACCTCCACTAACTATCATCAGGAACATTCACAGTCCGACTCAACAACACTCGGACTTATCTTTCAGAACTGAATTGGAAAAGTTTCTTGGTTCTTGCAGATTTTACGCGTAAAATAAACCCTAAAATGCTGAATTACGCAGCAGCGAGTTGCACTGGATCCTGCACATGTTGTCAGGATCCACTTGTCTCTCAGATATAGTGACAGTTTAACACGATCCCCTCCACACACAGCACATGACAGACATCATGGTCCTCACTGTCCCACCTGCGATGTCCCACAGCTGGAGCCGCACAGTCTCCGAGTCCCAGTTCAGCACCTTCAGGGCGAAGTCCACTCCGATGGTTGCCCGGTAGTTGTTGGAGTAGGACTGGTGCACGTAGCGCCTGATGATGGAGGTCTTCCCCACCCCGAGGTCCCCGATCACCAGCACCTTGTACAGGTGCTCTTTCTGACTCTGCATGCCGTTAGCCTGTGGTGGGTGATTGGTCATTCCACAGCACGGGTCTCAGACGCACCAGATTATCGCTTCCCCTCGGTTTGAGTCCGGTGTGAGACTTCTTCTTCTCCCCTCTTGTCCTGCTGCCTCACCAGTGTCTCACCCTCTCTCCGCACGAGTGGAGGAGCCGCCCTCCCCCGTGGGGAAGTGTGATCCGCCGCAGGGGCAGTGCCTCATGGGAACTTGTGACCTCCTCGCCACCCAGGAGCGCACGGTTCGCTGGAGGCGTTGCGCCCTGGTTCCCGTGGAGAGGACCTGGTGAGCCTCTAATGTAATTCACTGTAAACCTCATTATGTGAATGTTGTCACACTTTAACCCTTCGTGTGGTCAAACTAGATAAAGAACATGGAAGAGCTGCACACACTTAGATATGTGTTTACATGCACTTTTGGAGGAAGTACTCACATTTTACATAGTAAGGGTACAAAAAAATACACTAATAAATGTACTTAAGCACAAGTGGAGTAAAGTAAATAAAGTGAAATACAGACACATGAAAAATGTACTATGATATAAATGTACTTTGTTTGCAACTAAGACAATCCATTCTGTCTCTTCCTCTGTCTCGCCCAGACTATTGCCCTCTAATCCAGAGCTTCATGTTCAGGACACACATCTCGGCACGTGCTCTACAAGGTTGGTGTTATTGTAAAAGTTGTAATTTTGTCACTAAGTTAAACCACAGTTACCAAAAGAGCCGGTTCGAGGTTGGTTCCTGCGTAAAAAAAGAGGAAAGTTGTGTGAAGGGTTTCGACACAAATCGAATTACGTCCCCCGGAATATTAATAGAACTCTTCACCAACTCACTTTAATTGGAGTGATGCTTTAGTTTAATGTGATTATTGTATGTATGCAAACAAATTGAAACCGAAACAGACGATTCTTCTGTTTTCACTTTGCCAGCATGAAAGTCTCAACATGAACTGAGGCCTGTTCCCAGAGCAACGTTTACCGAGGCACCAGGGTGAGTTTTCTGAGTTCACGTGAGGTGTGGGACACCTGACTGCTTCAAGATATCCTAAATATCCAGCTGAAAGGTTTCTGTGGCATAGGCAACACAACACACCACCATTAGATTTCATGGATAAACAATGAGTTGTTCCTCTGCGGCCTCACTCTGTCCCTGGGCTCATCAGAGCTGTTACGCTGTAACTATGAATAAACTTTACCCACGTATCTTGTGACTATTAATTTCATTTCGGTCGTCAATTTACGGCAAAGCAAATTATATCACGGTATTTAATAGAGAGTGCCCTAGAAACCTTATTTTACGCTTCCCGGTTTATTAATTATCGCACAGTGATTTGACACAATTATCTTCTTATTTAGAAAAAAGGTTCATAAGTAACATCAACTTAGGACGCGTAAAAATAACACAACCGTCCACGTCTTCCAGCTCAAACTCTGAATGGTAAACTCAGGCTAAATGAAAAGATGAGACAGAGACAAACGTCCTCTGAAGGTTATATTTGTGAATTATTGGCATCAAGCATCGTATGCACCTGCAAAAGTTTGACTGGCACAAAATTGCATGCAAATATGGCAAATGATGATTTCTACATTGAAAACCAGTAAAAAAACACTGTACAGTTCAAAATACATAATCTAGCTCCCATCAATACTATCAATAATGCACATCGTCAGAGAGGCCAAACTGTGGATGCAAGATATACTTAAAAAAGAAATAATAATGGTCAGGCATAAGAAATGTCATTAAATATTATATAAAAAATAACAACCCCGTACACTGAAATATGAAAATTGTTGGAGCAAATATAAAAATCACTCCATAACACATAAATTACTTAAGTTTGTTCAAATTACTTTATATTAACACAAACTTCATTTAGTTTAGTAGTAAACAATTTTCATTTTTCACTGTGTGATTAAAAACACAAAGTCGTTCAGTGCTGACGAACCAGAACAAATAAAAAGCCAGAATGGAAACATTAGAAAAATCTGGCAAACATCCACTTCACCTCTCTCCTGAGACACATTAATATCACTTAGAGCATCTTCACCTCTTTCTACTGTATCTATTCATCTTAATTGAATAATATTAAAAAGTAATTGATTACAAATATAACTCATATCCTGACATCATGCAAACTAGAAACATGTCGAGCCGGCGGCCGACACATCCTGAGGTGGAAGATCATTTTGGTCCATTTCGTACGAGGACACGTTATCTTACATTCAACTAAGTCATATGCAGAGAAGAGAATTAAAGAAGACGTCCAGGCAGTTCACGGGTCAGACGATGTAGCGTCCATTGAGACAGATCAGTCTCAGTAGCTTCATACAAATGATGCTGAGTTCGTCTTCCAGGATTGACAACAAATTAATGTTGCAGGGAAAATGCCTTGACCTTCCAGGAAACGTTATTCAAGCAGTTTTCTCCTGCATGTCTCAAAATGTAACAAATTATCAGAAGTAAAAACATTACATATGAGGAAAGTATACAGCAATAATACAAAGAGTAAAAACAATCTTTGTTCGTGAGAATAGATAATGCAAAATATACAAATCTAATACAACTACCCTTGTCCTTGTAAGACCTGCACTTTCCTAGAATAAGTCAAAGAAACGCTGAACATAAAGATTTGGTAAATTTCCTTCACCTATTATTGATCATGGTTTTATAAAGAATCTGTATTTTCTTTGGAATTTGAAAAGTTTAAAACAGAGTTAGAAACATGAGTCTGTGAAATGCCCAATTGTTTTGCTCCGGATCATCAAGTTTTTGTTTTTTTTGCTCACTTGAAGATGTAAGATGAAACACTGACACTGCTCAGGTACTTTTCTTAAAAAATAACTATTTAAACATTCAGAATATTCAAATGTAGAAAGAGTTTGGTCCATTCTGTTGTTGACCCCTGGAGATAGAAATCGTCCAGTTGGAGGTAAATGAGGGAACAGAGGAGGACGAGCAGGTTTAGAGGGAGGAGGAGCTCTGGCTGAAGTGTCTGAGCAGCAGCTGGTCGTATTCCGCCTCGGAGGCCGGGGACAGCGACGGGTCGGAGCTGCCGTCGGAGCTCAGAGATGAGTCTCTGAACGGGGAGGGAGGCGTCAGAGCCACCAGCTCCTCCATGTCCTTCGCTCGTCTGCTGCTCACACAAGTCCCAGCCAGGTGCTCGTAGATCTTACCTGCTGGTCGGTTCTCGCAGAAAGTGGAAACAGCCGCCACCTCCGCGTACGTGGTGACGGTGGAGGGGCCCTGCCTGCTCCTGGACGCCAGGTACTGCGGAGGGCCAGGGGCGGCATCTGCTTCTGCGGCGGTGGAATCAGGAGGGACGCCGGCTCCCCCCGGCAGCATCATGGTGTTGAGCTCACTGATGTTGGCAGTGAAACGGTTGACCACGCAGCTGATTTGGTCCATGATGGTGGCGCCCTGAGCTTGACCGCCAAGAATCCCCGTGCCGATGTCACCCATGCCCATAGGTATGATGCTGATATCCCCAGCGTCCAGCATACCTTGGCTGCCGTCCCCACCTCTTCTTCTGACCCCGGCAGCGTGCTCGGGTACGTACGTGGGTAAAGCCTGTGGCTCCTCTCCCCCCTGGAGACCCCTCGCCTTGGCTGCGTGCTGGCTGACGTTGAGCAGAGGTGACCGGGAGGGCGAGCAGCTGAAGGGCGGAGACACCTGTGGCTCCTCATACTGCTCTTTGACGTTGGCGTGCACCGGAATATCTCCTCCCTTAGAGAAAGGCTTGATGATGGCTGTCTGGTTCGCCTCGACTGGGTCTTTCTTCTTGACGTGGAACGACATCCTCTTCCACAGGTTCGGTCGGTAGCTGCGCTCACTCTTTGTCCAAGTCACCGATTTCCCATTGGCACTTGGAAACGGAGAAGAGTAGGATAATTAGGGTTTAACGCTGAGAAAAGAACCTTGTCTGTCTAAGGTCCATGTCCTAAGGTCCATGTTCTACTTCTTACTCTAAGTGTTTCTTCCATCCCCCACATTCTATATTTTGCTTTCTGAGTAATTTTACATCTTCCTCCATTTTCCTTCATCTTCCCTGGAAAGAGAAATCCTTGAAGGCAGCGGCTCTCCTGTGGGAGTACTTAACCCAAATGAGGAAAACCGTTTCTCAGCTCAGGGAACAGTTTTTCTTGGCTTCACATTCTGCCTGTTGCCGTGGATCCAGCAGAGCTTTCATTTCTATACATGGACCCGTGGACAGAAACAATCAAAACATGTGGGTGTACAGACTCTGTTTAGACTCTCTATGCATAAGATAAGTAGTTAGACGGCCATGTCTCTTTCTGTCTGCAGCTGTCCTCTCTCAGCTCCGTCTAACTACACTTTTGTCCTCTTGTACCCTAAAATATATTTAATAGAGTCTGCATTCGCTACCGAAAACACTAGTATTCATTCTGATTACATGAATCTGATTACAAAAACACTTTAAAGCTATCGTCAGCACTTTACCCACCTGTGTATATGTGTATTTAATGTCTGGTGGTCCTTGTTGCTTTGAATAACAGTCGATATTATCATTATTATTATTCATTATATATATTTTTGCTGTAATATTGTGGTTATTTATTGTCATATTGTGAGGTCGTGGAGGAGGCCTTGAAAGTCAGTAGTGTTTTCTTCTGTTCATGGATTTGAACCAATCAATTGTTTTAATAATGAAAAATGTTTCATTTGTGTTTAAACACATTTTGTATACAAACAAAACCTAAAGGAATTGTTCTAATGAGAAGGTAATTTAATATATTTATAGTTTTGTACCTGACGTCGTCCTGTGCAGAGCCACGACGTCGAAACAAGTTGGCCATGCTGCTGGAGGACTTGCTGGTCTTGGCAGCTTTTTTGGCGTCACCTACGTGCATGCGCACCACTGTGGACGTGGTGAAAGCACTGCGGACGTTTTTCTCGGGCTTGGCGAGCATGATGTAAACCTAACCATAAAAAAAAATAACCAACAAACAACTATCACATTATGTAGACACCAAAGAGAAGATTCTAACTCTGTGAGAACGTGTTTTCTTTTTCTTACCTTTGGGACAAACATGCAGCAGAGAGCCACTGTGGCGCTGAGGCTGACGCTGAAGCACATGGTGATGATCTTGTAGTTGGAGCCAAAGTAAATAGGAACAAAGGCCAGCCAGATGATGCAGGTGGTGTACATGGTGAAGGCAATATACTTGGCCTCGTTAAAATTAGCCGGCACATTACGAGTCTGAAGCAGAAAAGGAGGAATGTAGTTTTTAACGCAGCGTCAAATGAAGCAGAAAGAAAATAATACACGGAGAAGACGAGAAACGAGACTTAACCAACAGTCTCCTGATGAAAACTCATTTAAACTCACTAGATATGCACCATATTGCATAAATATCAGTCCTTAAATATGTCTCGTTTATTTCTTCCAACATAATCCACGATCTCTTCTCTGAGAAATCAAAAATGTTGTAATTGGCCCATCTCACATCCTCCCACCAAGTTCTGCGAACATCTATCCCGTAACTTTCTTGCAATCTTGCTTCCAAACATTATATAAAGGGACAGGTTGAGTTTTATTAACTAATGCTGACGTTACCTTGAAGGCATAGAAGGTGCAGCTGAGGATGAGCAGACCATTGTAGCCGAGCGGCCCCACCACCCCCAGAGTGGTCAGGTTACAGATCAGGTGCACCTCTCGGATACTGGGGTAGTCATAGATCACCTGACGGGAGACAAAGGTCATTCTACATGCATACATACATGTAAGTGAACATTCCTCCAACACACACGGACCTGTGGTGGCTCTATGATGAGAAGAGCCACAATAATCCCCAGCTGAAGCAGTATGAGTAGGAAGGCGATGACCAACTGTGCGCAGGCGGACATGAAGCGAGGTTTCTTGGTGCAGATCTTCTTCTTGCTGCCTGCCAGGATCCGTGCTATACGGTTGGTCTGGGTAAAAATAGATCAAATGGTTATGGTGGTAGGCGTCACTTATAATACAGCTCGCTCTGATTCATAACAGCGATCCCCCTTTCTGTCCGTCCTCAGATCTTAAACCTCAGCCCACACACGGATACTTTATCATGCCTTCCCTTTACAGTTGAACATCACCCAGTCTCTGACAGCAGCTCTTCTGCTCCTATCCTCAGACGCCCTTCTCCTCACGCTTTAAGGTTATAGACATTCACGGCCACTAGGTGTCGTTTGTTAGTTGTAAAGGAACAGGAGGGACTCGTGTTATATTAATGTTTAAAATCTCATACTAGAACCTGAAAAACATGGGACAACAACAATAATAATACTACGTTCTACTTTTTATGTACTACCTTAAAAAACAGGGTTTACAAAGTGCTTTACAAAGCTTTACACAGGATACACATCGCAAAATAATTAATAAATAAAAGCAATAAGTAGACAGCAACATGTAAAAGCAGTAATTACAAATAAAAAGAATAGATCAATAAACAACAAGACAAAATTCCAACAAAGCAAATTGATACAATAAAAGAACATAGACATAATGTAAAAAATCATAAAAACAAAGATGTGA